CTATCCCTCTGGCAGTCTGGACTGTTTCACAGGTGTACTTAATTGCTGTAATAATATCTCCAGGTCTGTAGGAAGCACAGAAAGCCACGTGCTCCAGAGGAGGTTCATTCTGAGTCCTCCAGAGAGGTTCCAGCCATTCCAGGTGGCTCTCCAGGAACCCTCCTTCAGGAACCACAGTTATTCTGTGTATTTTGAAAGCCTGTTAATAACTATTTCCTACAAACCGTGCATTTACATGGAGCAAGTAAAACTGTACCTTGAGATGATGCAAGGATAAACCCCTGCCCAGTTCTGCAAAGTCACAGAATCCCAGGATCAGTTGGGCTGGAAAAGACCTCTGAGATCATCGAGTCCAACCTTTGACCCAACAGCACCTTGACAGCCAGCCCATGGCAGTCAGTGCTGCCACTAATTCCTGCCATTACCTGAGAAACAACACATGGAAAAGGAAAACATAGCATCCAACACACAGGAGTTTAACACATTTGCTAAGAGAAAGACAGCCCAGGAAGGTCCTGTGCCAGTTAAGTTTTCTGCACTTTGCCTGATTGCAATGAAGAGAAAGTTGGAAAAATGCACCTTTGGCACCAAAAATAGATTTCAGAAAAAACCCCAAACCCTTTCTTCCTGAGGATGACTGAGGAGACCACTCTTCACTCCTCCCCACACAGAGTTATTTAATTCCTGTTCAATAAAGTTTTCTATTCTGCTCAGGAAGCTGATGCTCTGAAGCAGACAGACCATGCACCGTTTGCACAGGAGGGATTAGTTTCTAATTCCTGCTCTTAAATGCTTTTCTACAACTAAAACTGGAACTCCTCCATCAGGAACCTGCCCACCTCCAGCCCTGCCACACACACAGAGAGATTCATTCCAGGCAGGTGGAATGAATCTGGTGCACTGGACACCTCCAAGTGCCCTCCAAACCCACAGAGTTTGTGTTGGCTGCACGAAGGGCTGGCAAACACTGCTAGAAATACTTCCATCTGCAATTAAAACACCAGGACATGCCTGTAATAACAGTGCCAGCCAAAAATAACCAGGGGAATCTGGTATATTGTTTTTAAACTTTACAAAGTGCTCTTTTAAAAGAGGGTAACTCCTTGTGCCACGGATCAGACAGAGGTTCCAGCACCTCCCAGCGAGGTTTTCTGTGCACGAGCCATTTATCACCAGCTCCCAGCCTGGCCCCCATTTCTGACTGGCCACCACACCCCCCAATTTCATGCTTGGCAAGTAAAAACAAAGCCAAGTTGCTGTGGAGGGGCCATCCCAAGTTCAGCAGCTGTGAAACAACAGCCAGGGGCAGCCAGAGCTCCCAGCACTCAACGGGGGCTCGGGAATCCTGGGCTACTTCTATGGGAAAGAGAAGGCAAAGAAATCCCAGCTCTCTTTGGCTCCAAGCAGGTGAGTGCTGGAACCCCCAAAACCAACCTCCAACAAAGCTGCTGCTGGTTTGTCCTGCTCCCCAAAATCAACCTCCAAGAAAGCTGCTGCTGGTTTGTCCTGCCCCACCACTGCACACTCGAGTGTTCTGGTGACTCTCCATCGTCACGGAATCACAGATGGGTTGGGTTGGGAGGGACCTCAAAGCCCATCCAGTGCCACCCC